GCTTTGGCCCGGCCACATCGAAAGGCAACCTGGCAGTCTCGATGGGCAGATGATCCGGGGGAAACGCCTTCTCCCAAGTGGTGATTTTGTACGAGCCATCAGCAGGCATGAAGCTCGGAGTCGAGGCGCTTGCTGTTCCAGCGGAGTCAGGCGCCCTCTCTAAACCAAAAACCGAACCAGACGTACAATCCCAAGTCGGGGTAAGAGACTATCCAACGCCTAAGAATATCGCACAAACAAAAAAGAAAAACAAAAGAGAGGGAGCCCAGCGAAAAACACTGAGAAGACCTTGAGGGCGCTTACCAGAATGGGAGGAAAGGTTGGAAGCGGCGCCTGCACAAGAATTTGTGGGGCAGACCGAGGAGGCGCCTGCGTCAGCCTCTGTAAGGCGAGTGGGGGTGGCGCCTGCCCCAGAATCGGCAGGATTAGCGGGGGAGGCGCCCGCACCAGATCCTCTAGCAACGTTGACTCGAGGAGAGGCCATTTGGTCGAGGAATGAAAGCGATTCTAGAGAAGAAGCAGAAGGTGGCCGAGCAATTCTAGAGAGAAGGCAGAGCGAAGTTAGAGAGAGAGAGGGAATTGGCGAAAGTGACAGAGGGAAGAAGGCTGGGGGGGTATTTAAAGGGGGGAAAGGCGCGCATCGAGAGCCGCGCCTTCCGCCACGTGTCGCGAAATCATGAGCGGGCCTTTGAGCTTCCCCCATTTTTTGAATTTTCAAATTCAAATTCCCATTTTTAAATTTCAAAATTGGGATTTAAAAATAATAATGGGAAGACTCAAATTCCCGCCCGCGAGGGGGTACCCGGGCGTCTGTAACGTGGCGTGGGCGCCTCTCTGAAGGATAGCGTCTGTCACGTGGAGTGGGCGCCTATCTGAAGGTTAACATGAGCTAAGAAAGTACACGGCGGTCAGAACGCGGGACGCCTATCGAGAGGGGGCATGAACCTAAGAGAAGTTGGTCACACGAGGAGGCGCCCCGTACACAGAATGAGCACCGAATGACGAGGACTCGGGCGCCAGAAAGTTACATTGGGCGGATAACCGAATGCGACACCTAGAATGAGTTTGGCATACTACGCGTGATAAGCGCCCAGGCTAAGGAACTAGTTAGGCGCTCAAGTAAGGGACCATGAACGCCTAACTGGGGGGCAATTGTTGGGGGTATTACTAAAAGGTCCAAGAGAGCCATTTAGTAAAAAATAGCCAAAGACGATGGGCCAGAAGAAGAGGCCCACGAAGCCCACCAGGCAGCACAAACATGGAGACAAAGCACTAGGGGCCAAAGAAACCCAGGCTGGCATGTGGTCCCCCGTCTGTAGGCGCCTGCCAACCGTCAGAAGCCTGACAAGGTGGCTGAGGCTCCTGACAGGAATAAAGGTACAAGGCATTTAATGTGACAGTGACGTGGAGGAAATCCATCTCGAACTCGGTGAGTATAAATAGGGGCAGTTGGTAGCATTTACACAGGTTGGACTTTCTCACTAAAACTCTAGCTCTAGAAGCACTTCTCTCTCTAAGATTCTGACTTGATCGTCGAAGGGCTAACGGGCCGAGGCGCCCCCCTCTGTGCTGGTGTGTGTAGGCTGGCGCCGGACAGGAAAGAACGCGGGCGTGCTAGCTGGGCATCGAGGCACAAACAAGAGCCATTACTAACACCATAATATTCGGTCTCCCGGATATTACCCTAGTTAATTTTCAGTCGATCATGTGTAGGGACTAGGGAATTGTGACTGATTCCATAAATGAATTTAGCTACTTAACTTACATATGACCAATACAAAACCAAAATAAAGGGAAGGATATCCTAGATACTCCGATGGATAAGAGATTGAGGTTTGGCGTTTGAAATGAAGGAGGATCGTCATATGTGCACCCCATATGCAGAAATGGAGTTCGCCTGCGGGACATGGAAATGAATTGGCAACGGTGGGTGTCTTACTGTGTGGGATTCAGGAGCGGAGCCAGGAATCGACGATTGGGGGGCCGGAAATATTGTTGTATGTTATCGGAAAATGATTAAAAAATTAAAAAATTAATTTTATATTATTATAACGTCACAAATTATTCATTAAAACGATTAACATCACTTTGTAAACTAACTTTTTAACCATTGAGTTCAATATAAATTAAAAATAATAATTAACAATATTTCGATATTGTATTGCACATATGTTTCCATAATTAAGAGATAGGTCTTACACGAGTATTTAATAGAAATTGTTGTTGTATACAATCGATAGGGAATAAAGCTGGCAAAAATTATTTGCTTAGCATGAGAATCAAACCAAGGACCTAGTGAGAGCAAAACAAACCACTTTCCACTACCCCAGAAGCCTGTTTTATGAACGCATACTATAGCATTTTTATCATTTCATTTTATTTATACGTAAATTACCGAATATTTTATACGTAACTTTCAAGATTCTCGAGGGAGCCGAGGCCCCCCGAGCCCTGCTGTAGCTCCGCCCCTGGTGGGATTGTGTGGTGACCTGGGTCGAATTAGTCTTGGCGAGCAAAGGAGAAGAGAACAGATAGAGAGAGAGAGAGAGATGAGAGAGAGAGAGAGTTTGTTGTATTAACCAAGTTAGCCGTTAGGCCGTTACAGAGCGGGATTATATACCCGTTGGTAAAATATCCAAGACAGTCACTACACTTTTGCTATTTACAATTAAATCCGTCTGTTACAACTCCCTTACCCTTCGAAAACAACTTGTCCTCAAGTTGCAAATGCTGGAAATCTCTGCTTGAACTCATCCAAGAATTCCCAAGTGGCATCCTCCTCTGTCTGGTGTGTCCATTGAACCAAGATCTTAGTAGCTGCCCTGTTCTGTCGAGACACAACCCTCCGCGCAAGAATGGCTGCCGGCTCGACCTTCAATCCCCCATTTGCATCGATCTCGGGAAGAGCTGGCTGTGTGGTCACTGAATTACCCCTCGCCCTCTTAAGAAGCGAGACATGGAACACCGGGTGAATGGCTGATCCAGAAGGGAGATTTAAACGATAAGCGACATTCCCGATCTTCTTCGCAACTTCAAAAGGGCCATAGAATTTAGGAGACAGCTTCTGATTTGCCCTGGACGCCACTGTAGATTGCCTGTAGGGTCTCAACTTGAGATAGACAAACTCACCCTCTTGAAAAGACCTCTCTGTTCGGTGCATATCAGCCATCTGCTTTTGCCTATTCTGGGCCTTGGCCAAATTGTTGCGAAGAATACCCACCAAGCGCTGTTGTTGTTGAAGCCTCTCTGCCACTGCAGCAACTGGTGTCAAAAGGGGGTTAGCAATGGACAGCTGGATAGGAGAATACCCATATAGAGCCTCAAATGGAGTTCCCTGCAAACTACTGTGGTAGTTAGTGTTATACCACCATTCAGCTAGAGTGATCCAGGTAGCCCAGTGTTGTGGATTGTGATGCACCATACCCCGCAAATACTCTTCCAAACATCTGTTAACCCTCTCTGTTTGTCCATCCGTTTGTGGGTGGTAAGCAGTAGAGAAATGCAGCTTCACTCCTTGCAGCTTAAAGAGTGTAGACCAGAAAGTACTTGTGAATAATGAATCTCTGTCTGAAACTATTGTTTGAGGAAGACCATGGAGTTTGAAAACCCCATCAAAGAACACTCGAGCTATTGAACTAGCTGTGTAAGGTTTAGGCAAGCAGAAGAAATGGCTGTACTTGGAAAACCTGTCAACAATCACGAACACCGCTTCCTTTCCCTGAGACTTAGGCAACCCTTCGATAAAGTCCATGGAAATGTGCTTCCAAGCCTGATCTGGAACTGGAAGAGGCTGTAATAACCCTGGATATGGCACATTTTCCACCTCGCATCTCTGACAAACATCACATTCATGTACAAATTTCTTTAAATCACTCTTGATTCCAGGCCCCCTGAAATAGCGTTTGAGTCTTTGGTAATTGGCTTGCAAGCCAGAATGACCACCAATGGGAGATTCATGAAACAATTGCATCAATTGTTGCCTCATCCTTCCTGTTGATCCCACCACTAGTGCTGCCTTATGGTATAACAGTCCCATGTAAACAGAGTGAATCTTAGGTAAAGGTGATGGTCTGGCCTGATGGCTTACTACACAGATTCGTGGATCCGGGACAATAGGTCTGCGCGAGGACCTGTTCGACGCGACCGGAGAAGCGGAATGCAAGAAGAGTCGAGGCGGATCGCAATTTGGTGGGTTCAGTGAAGTTCACTGGAGCAGTTGGTACTTGGTTCTTTACACCATCAGAGCGCGAGATCGAGGAAAACGATCATTGTGCCTTTTCATTCGCTTTTTCTGTTCATGCATTTAAAAATAATTAAATTTAACTAAATTAATGGGAAAAATGAAATACTAAACGGCTGGGCACACGGAAAGTGACGTGAGACTTCTCTGCATCATTAGACAGCTTTTGGTTTGGGCCAGTTTTCATGGGCCACTGGTTCAGAATTGAGTTTATAGAATCGAACCATAACCATGTCATAGTCATGTGGACCAATCACAAAATGCGGCACCGGTGCCGCCGCACTTTTTTCAACGGAAGCCTTTAGAAGAGATTTAAACTTAGGTTTGATTAAATCCAACTTCAAATCCGGTGACCAGTGATCCGGAATCTCTTATTAAGCGTAGTTAGCGCTTTTTTCGTATGAAACAGTGTTTTTCGTTTTGGGAAAATTATAGGATGAACAGTGATCCAGAATCTCTTATTAAGCGTAGTTAGCACTTTTTTCGTATGAAACAATGTTTTTCTTGTTGGTTGCTTACGTTTTAATTATTCTAATAATAATAATAATAATAATAATAATAATCTAATTAATTTAAAATTGGTGCAGCGGTTAAGCTTCCCAAACAAATTTGAACAGCTAAAAATTCATTGATCTCTTCTTCGTCTTCACGACGATGCACGATTCTGGCGATCAGAGGTTCCGTAAGTACCATCCTAACAGAATCTATGTAGCGTCCCTTCCCAATCTCCCCACGTCCTCGAAGTTCCTCTTCATGGAAGATGCCGCACGTTAGCGGCGGACCTGGAGCGAGAATCTCACTTACTACACCGGCACGGGGTACCTTGGCGGTTCGATCGTCGGCGGCGAGGAGGGGACGCTCGATGGATCAGGGCGGCCCAGGCCCGCGACTACATGAAGTTGCGGGTGAACAGGGTTTTGAACTCCGGCGGGCACAGTGGTCGACTATTGGGCAACACTATGGGAGTTTTGCGTCTGATGTTTACCGGGGTCAAGAGCAGCTTGATTGCAGCGATCGATGTGGATGATTTTGCTAACACCGTAGCTGCTGGGCTAGGCACTGGGGCAATTTATCGAGCAGTCAGAGGGCCTAGATCGACGGCGATTGCTGGTGCTATTTGAGAGATCTCGGCCGTTGGTGCTGTCGCCGGGAAGTATGCTGTAAAGGGATATGTTCTTGTGTAGTGAAATCCCATTCCATTCTTGGTACGGATTGGGCTTTGGGGAACTTGATGGGTATTGATATGATTTCCACTTTGGAGTAGTGAATTACCTTCTCTCAGTTTAGCAAGTTACTGAGTCTGAATGAGAAAGAACTATTCATATTTCTCAACGAAGATGTTCTGCTCAATTATTGATTGTGACCTTTTGTTGTTTGTTCATTACTTGCAAAGATTTCATCTTTGGCTGATTGATTCTTAAGTAGTGTAGTAATTACTCGTTCTAACTACAACATCTCAATCGACGGTCAAGTATAACCGCCGTCCGGGTGTAGCATAGGGCAAGCAAGCAATAAGAATTTATCGTACTTCGGGGATCTAGGCTTACCCTACTTCAGGTTTAGGGTTCGTTATCTAGCCAACCTAGGGTGGTGATTAGAAGAACTAAGCTAACTAATCTAGCTAACCACTAATCTAGCTATTTACAAGGTTGGGAGCTCTCTTGAGTTAATTTCCCCTATTCTCGACCTTCGGATCGATGTTGAGTACTATTCCTAGCTCAATCGACTCAAATACTCCACCGTTTGGAGGACTCCCTCGGGAATGACCCGGAACGGCGAATCGATGGATGGGTAGGTGCTCTATTCAACCTAGGGTATCGTATATTGCTAGGAGTTGGATCGAGTCAACTCCCTCGGGGACTACCCGGTGAATAAACGATAGGAATGACCGAAGTTGCCAAAAGAGGGTACTAAGGGGATTATCTGTCTCCTAGGTCAAAAGGTCAAGACATGAAAATGGAAACCCAACTCATGTCATTCATGTAAACATCCATCAATCAAGTAGAATCATCAATTAAAAAAGGAATTTGTCACATATGTCAACAACAAACCAAAATTAAAAACCTAGGGTTCTTAAACCTAAGAGAAGGTATGAGTTTCTAGAGAGAGAAGAGAGAAATTACGACTTGAAGCCCAAGATCTTCTTCTTCTAGGCTTTATTCCTTGCTTCCAATCTTGAACAATGCCTTCAATTAAACTCCAAGATCACTCAAGCTCTCTCCCTCTCTCTCTCACTAGAACTCCCCTTTGGTGTTTTGGGCGAAACCCTAGAGAAAGAAAGTGGTTACTTCTCCAAAAAACCAGCTACTCCTTCTTCCTTTCAGCTTCTCATTTAAACCCAGATCGAGCTGAGTTCACGGCCTTCCAGTTATGGCCGTGAACAACTAAACGCGTCCGTTAACTCAGTGTCGTCTCCAAAATGCACCGCTTCACTCTCCTGGGTTCACGATTTGTGCTCCAAGTTCACGGTCTTAGAGATCGTGAACTGCCTTGTCGCCAGTAACTTCTAGAACCCTCCTGGAGAGCGTGAACTCCAATGCTGGACCGTGAACTGCGACTGCTTCCTAGATGCCTGCGCTTCACTGTTACGGAGCAATTTTTCTTTGGACTTTTCTTCGGATTTTTGCGCTTTTTAACCTCCAGTCATCCTGAAACTCGTCCTCGACCCTTCCACACGTGCTAGGACTTGAAATGTATCAAAACAAGCACAACCAAGCGTAAAATAGGTCGAGGGACGGTGATCTACTAAGCATAATGAATAAGAAATGAGGGATAAAATGTGTACATTTGAACCCGAATCACTCCCCCACACTTAACGTTTGCTTGTCCCCAAGCAAACCAAGTACAAAACAAGGTAAACTTGCAACTTCTCTTTTTTGACAAAATTTTTGAGGCATGCAATAGGGCACAAAACGAATGAATCTCAATGGTTATTTGACACCGAGCCATGGACAAAAATAAAGTAATCTTGGCAACCACCACAAACGACATTCAATTGTATTAAGATTGTGCAAAAGAAGAGTTCTCACATTATTCATCAACCAACACACTACATGCCTCGACGATTCACCAATCACAGTTACTCATGCATGAAGATCACATCTTGGGAACGAACGATCGAGCAACCTAGGTCCTCACCGGGGTATAAGAAATGAACAAAACATGATGAATGAATCACTCACTCTCGACCAGTGGGGTCAGGACCATTTGATGCAAAAGATGTGCACATTCACGCTCAATCCTAACATCCCTTTACCATGATGGTAGCCTCAAAATGTTAGAGCTCACAAGATGGGTATCATTGCTAGCTCATCCGGAGGTCTTAGACACGGGTTAAAATGACTGGTAGGACATGGGGGAAAAGGCTTTTTGGGTGGTGGCAAACATAACATGAGGTTCCACATCTCCATCCTAAAACCACAAAAGGTTCTAAGGTTTCAATTAGATCCATCTCCTATACTCAATGGCCACTACGATGGGGGTGAATAACCCCTGGCAAGGACGGGGTCGAATCCGGGTGAGAGCGACTACTCATGGACTCTTTGAGTTCGTACTACCAAGGATGCTAAATCTTGGATACTCAAACAATTCCCATGGGTAATCGGTGACAAGATCCTACACTTACGAGCATGGTCTCCATCTATTAGTAGAAGAACTTTTGATGAGCTAGCTATAGCTCCTTTCCGAGTCCAACTATGGGACGTCCAAGATGAGTGTTGCACCCATCAGTTTGGACGCAAAGTAGTGGCTGCCACGCTTGGAAGGGTCCTGGAGGCCGGCTTGTTTTCATGCAATGAGTCGGATCAACGTTTCATCAAGGTGAATGTGTTGTTGGATTTCTCTAAGCCTCTACGGTCCAATAATATGGAGACTAATGAGGAAACCGGGTGCTTCTGGGTTCGATTGAAGTATGAACATCTGCCGAGCTTCTGCTACCATTGTGGGCGAGTAGGACACTCTCGACAGGCTTGTACGTTTGACCCACCTTTAGCGAAGGAACGTTTTGGACCTCAGATGTCGACCAAGAAGTTGGGTCGAAAGATTTTTTATGATGAGGAGCAGCTCCCTACCTATCCCTTGCGTTCGGTTTGGGTCAACAAGGAGGCTCGAGGGCATATGGTGGATGATCAGAAGCCGGCTCGTGGCCGCACTGCGTAGGGGCGACGGGAGGAGGTATCTATTAAAGATGCATGTGGTTGCGGACAACCCTCTTTGGATGGGCTCTTTGAATCACCCATTCATGGAAACCGAGCCTCCTGTGCAAAAGGGACGTAGCCCTCTCCGGTTCCCCGTATCGAGAGCCCCTAAACTCCATCTCAGGAATAATGGCCGCAAAAGCCAGGCGCTAGCGGAACAGGGTTTTCAGCTCCTCGAAAGAATGGGAGACGCATGTCTGGACCTGTGGGTCAAGGGAGAAGCACCATTAACGCTGCTCGCCAGGTGCCTCAGGAGGAACCTCGAAATGAGCGGCCGAATGAAAAACCGAAGGTGTCCCTACGAGATGCTCCAAATCTAAACCCTTTGACTATGAGCCAAAACCGGGAACAATCCTGACGCCAGTGCCTCATTCTCGAGGAGGAATCCGTGGACGAGTTTATTGTACAGGGGGTGCCCATGCAAGCCTCCAAATCCTTGCATAAATATGGCTCTCGAGCTAAAAAGAGGAATCGCAGGAATCCCAAGGTGGAAGGGAAGGGAGCTGCTCACGAAGCTGACCTGCTGGCTCCTTCACTAGACAATGAGGCTCTGGTGCCAAGGCCGACGTGGGTGCTCTTTCCCAGAGAGGTCGCAGGCTGACAAAAGGAATCGTCCTGGCCGCGAGTTCGCTTGGAGGGGAGGTGGAAGAAAAGGAAACTGAGCTGGGTGACTCCCGGCTGATCATGGATTCCCCGATGGGGCTAGCTGCGGAGACCTCCAGACCCGAGCCAATGGACTCGGACGAGACACTTTCTGAAGAGGAATTTCACTCTTTTGAGCTCAAGCGTCATGTGCATGGTGGAAAAAATTGAATGATGATTCCCAGGAAGGGCGGGTTCAGAAAGTGGTCAAGGCCTTTAAAAATGGTTTGTTTATGAAGGCATCTCCTGCCAAGAATTGGGTGCGCCGGACTCGATCCATGGAGAAGCTCCAACAGCATGAGACGAGTAGAAATGAAGATGGGCAGCTGGGGCTTAATGTATATGGATCCAACATGGTTGATAATACCGTTGGTGGTATTAAACGCTCTTTGGATAATCTTGTTGGGATGCTGCTGAGGCTCCCACTCCAAAGAAGCAGTTTGTGGAAGAAAATGATGACTTGGAAAAGGTGGAGGAAGCCAGCCTCGAGTGGCCCCAGCTTGATAAATGAGGCTTCTGGCCTAGAATGTGAGAGGAATTGGGTCATCCCTTACATTCCAAACTGTTGTAAGTTTAGTTCATTCCAATAAATCGGATCTCGTGTTCTTCTCGGAGACACGCTCGAGCCGGAGTAGTGACCCGTCGTATGCGGGGGTTAGGTTTTGATCTTTCTCGTTTCTTCTTTGTCGATGCAGTTGAGGCATCGGGAGGCTTAGTTGTTGCTTGGTCCCCCGAAGTTGACGCTTCAGTGTTTTTCCATTCCAACTTTTGTATTTGTGCGCAAATTAATGAAGTGAAGTTCTCCTATGTTGTGGTTTTCGTTTACATTAGTTGTAATATCTCGTTAAGAGCTACTCAATTAGCTCAGTTACGTGAGATTTGCGACAGTTTCCATCATCCTTATGTTGTCATAGGGGATTTTAACACCACTCTGCATGAGGGTGAGAAGGATGGTGGTCTTCCTTGGAATGCTGTCCAATCTATCGGCCCACGGGACTTTATCCAGGACTTGGGACTCCATGATCCGGGTTATCAGGGTGATCAATTCACTTGGACAATTAAGCGAATGGGCGCTGCTTGTATTCGTGAACGTCTGGATTGGGCGATCTGCTCCCAATCTTGGATTGATCAGTTCCCGAAAAATTTGGTTAAACATTTCACAGACCAAGGGTCGGACCATCGTGCCATC